AAGATCATCTTGAGTAAAGTGATGAGGAAGAGGTATGTAAACCAACCTATGATGAATTATTTGAGATTTGTGTGAAAATCCATGCATCTTACAAAAAACTTAAGAAGACTCATGCTAGCTTAAAAGTGCAACTTATAAATTTGCAAAAAGAGTATGAAGTCATTCTTAAAGATCATTCAACGACTGATTCAAATCACATTACTCTTCTTGATGAATTTGATGATTTAAACAAAAAGCATTTGGAATTATTATTTTTTTTTGAGGAAATGCATATAGCAAGATTTTATTAAAAAAGAAATACAAAAGAAACTAAATGATTGTTCCACAATCACAGTCCTCCTTGAGTAACAAGGAAAATCTAGGAAGAACATTATTACAATTGAGACTATCCAAAAAAAAATCTAAGGAGCAAGCATAATTAGCACAGTAATCAGCTAATTTATTGTTATTTCTATTTACAAAGTTGAAGAAAACCTGATTGAATTCAGAAATAAATGAGAAGTCCAAGTTGTCGAGTTCTTCTTCAAATCCTGCTTGCTTATTATAGATTTTATTGAAAAAATCTATAATGTTTTTATTGTCTCTTTCTATTATGATTCCTTTGAAATTATATCTCTCTTGGAGCATAAAATCCTTTACTGATAAGATGGCTTTCATTTCCATTTGGGCTGAATCCCAATGCTTATGTTTGATACCAAAAGCACAAAGAAATCTACCTTTATGATCTCTTAGAACTCCGCCTATTCTAGCATCATAGTTACTCTTAACAGCAGCATCTATATTTAATTTAACCCATTCGGTTGGAGGAGGAAACCAATGGCTTAACAACTGTGAAAGCTGGTTAGTTTCCCAGTAAACCGAATTATTTTTGAAGGAAGCTATAGCCATACTGAAAGCATTGGCAGCTATGAAAGATGAGCAGTCTTCATTACTTCCGTGAGTCACTTTATTCCTATTGATCCAGTTTAAATAAACCACTGAACAGTAAATGTTACCAGTAAAAGGATCATTAGAAGCCATTAAGGACAAAGCTACGAAGCAATCTTCCATGGAATTAAAAACAGTAATGGTTATTCCCCATTTTCTTAAGATGTAGAAAATCTGATTCAATTTTTGGCAATTGACCGCTATGTGTAAGTTGTTCTCTTCAGTATTACACCCTCTCTGACATTCTATTAATCTTGAAAGATTTCTGGATTTAAGGAAACTATAAGAAGGAATAGCATTTAAACTAAGCCTCCACCATAAAATATTTACACGTGGATTCAACAGTAGTTTTTTCCTCCATTTCCATGTAAGATCTTCATCTTTATTGGTTCCAAAACATTCAGAAATTAATGAAGAAATTGATTTACATGAGAATCTAAATTTAAGCTCCGGTTGATCTTGGATAGAATCAGGATAAATTGTGATATTTTTAATAATATCAACCAAATCAGGTCCGAAAAATTTTTTTAATCTTTGTTCATTCCATTTACCTTCTTGTATGAAGAAATCCAGATGTTGGATGTGCTGCCCCAAGTCTGCTATAAAAGTGGGCCATCTTAAAATTGGTTTGTCATAAATCCAAACATCTTGAATTATGTTGATGTTGTCCCCCTTATAGACTTTCCATCTCAATACATCTTGAAGAGCTTGAGATCCACTAATAATAATTTTTATTGTAGGAGAACTTTGAGCTTTAAGTTGAATGTTCCAAGGTAAAGTACCATACTTGGCCGCAAGAATGCTGTAAAGAATAGATGAATCTCCTGAAATTAGTTTCCAAGTGAACTTTGCTCTTAAAGGTTTAACTTTAGAAATCAAAGATTGAATGCCTTGTCCTCCCAAATCAAGTGGCTTGCATAGAACCTCCCAAGAAATATAGTGAAGACCTTTACTACCATCCTGTTTATTCCAAAGAAAATCCCTACACATTTTATCAAGTTCTTTGAGTAAACTCAAAAGAACTAAGGAGTGAGTAATGTAGTAGATTGGAAAGGAGGACAAAATAGATTTGACTAGAAGAATCTTCCCTGCTAAAGAAATGTATTTGTTGCCCCAAACATTCAGATACTCATTAGCTCTGTTTAGAAGATGAGAGAAATCCATCCTAGCCGACCTCCTTTGCATAATATTAATCCCAAGGTATTTCAGTTCTTGAACCACTTTAAATTTCAGGATTTTGGACAATCTTTTCTTCCTTTTTCTCTTAACCGACTTACCAAAGAGAATGGAAGATTTTTGGATATTGATCCTTTGCCCGGTACATTTATAGTATCGATTTAAAATTTCCTTTTCTTTCTTCACACAACTCCCATTAGCTTTCAAGAAGAAAACTATGTCATCAGCATAAAGAAGATGAGAAATATTCTCAACAATAGGAGCTATCTTAATCCCCAATTCTTTGCCATTTCGCTTAACCTCATCTGTGAGAAGTTGAGAGCATAAAATGAAGAGAAAGGGAGAAAGAGGACAACCTTGTCTAAACCCCCTTTTGGCTTCAATCCATTCAGAATAATTTCCATTAACAATGATAGAGAATTTAGTATTTGAAACACATTGGATGAGGAAATTAGCAAACTTATCTGGGAACCCCAAATTCATCAAGACTTGAGTGAGAGTAGACCAACTCATACTATCATAAGCTTGTTCCATGTCAATTTTGATAGCCATTAGCCCTTTTTTAGCTTTGGAGAATCTAAATTTGTTGCAAACTTCTTGAGCTAACAGAATGTGTTCAGAGCTAGATCTGCCTTTGATAAATGCAGCTTGTTCTTCTGAAACAAGTTTTGGAATAATGAATAGCATTCTGTTTAATAACATCTTGGCTATCAATTTGTAAACTGAAAGACACGGACTAATAGGTCTGAAACTAGAAGGGAGCATCAGATTTCCTGTTTTTGGGATTAATGTAATCAAGTTCTCCTTCCAATTAGGACACATGGTTCCTAGTTCAAAAAACGATAGAATGGCTTTCCATACGTCTTTGCTTATGATAGACCAAAAGGTTTTGATGAAGGAGTAAGAAATCCCATCTATACCAGGAGAAATACCTGCTTCTAGATGTTTAACCACCTCATCAAGCTCTTCTTTCTTAAACTCTTTCAACAGGACTCCCTTGTCAAATACATTAAGCACATTGAATGGTTTCGGCCAACCAGAAAGATAGCAATCTTTTTCTCGCCATTTGTTTTTGAAAAAGCTGACAAAGATATCTTCCACTTCTGATGGATCAGAAGTTATTTTGCCATTACTTCCCTTGATTTGATTAATCCAATTAGAACTCCTCCTTCCCGTAGCATAGGCATTAAAAAATTTGGTGTTTGAGTCACCGTCTCTCAACCATTTCGTTTTTGCTCTCTGCTTTCACCAGGTGTTCAAACGTGATAAAGTTATATTAAGCAGTAGAACTTGGATCTCAGCAATTGTAATTTGTCTTCAGTCAGCCCCCCTCCATCTGCTTCTTCTAATTGCAGTTCAGAGATATCTTTTTTGAGCCTTTCCTTCAATTCAAACAGGTCTTGGTGTTTGTTTTAAATCCAGTGGTGAAGAGCTTTCAAAACTCTCTTAAACTTATTGTTTAAAACCGAAGAAGGATCACCAACCATATTTTTATTCCAAGAGTTTTTAACAATACCTGTAGAAGCGGCATAAGAGGACCAAACTTCTTCATACTTGATGAACCTTTTTCTACGAATAGTTGGATTGAACAAGTTTACAAGAATGGGGCAATGATCAGACGCTATTCTAGGAAGATGTTTAACCACTGGATTTATAATAGAAAGCAAAGCAGCCGAATTCAAGAAGCATTTGTCTAATCTTTCCATGATTCTAGCTCCCCCTGTCTTGTTGTTGCACCAAGTGTACCTTGGACCAATAAACTTTAGTTCATGAAGATCACATGAACTAATGAAATTGTTGAAGTCTTGTACTCCTTGAGTGTATTTGAATCTTTTTCCTCCTAGTTTGTCCTTCTGAGATAGAATGCAGTTAAAATCCCCTCCAATGATAATTGGAAAAACTGGTTTGGATATGCCTTCAAGCGTGTTCCAAAGGTTCTTCCTCTTGTATAAATCATTATTTCCATATACAGAAGCAATAATCCATTTTCCCTTGTTAGCAATGTACAATTCTCCTATAATTGTTTGAGGAGATGCCACCAAGATGGAAAAAGTGGCAAGATCCTTTCTCCAACAAACCATGAGTCCACCTGAGATACCTTCAGCCGGATAACAGCAAAAATCTCAAAGCTTTCCTATAAAATTGTCACAGTCTTTTCTATCAAAGAGGGATATCTTAGTTTCAGATAATCCCACAAAGATCAAATCAAAATCTTTAATGCATTCCTTCAAATAGTGGGAGGCCTCTTTCTTCCTTGCCCCCCTACAATTCCAAAACATTATGGAAGTCATGATTGATAAGAAATGGGATTGCTCCCTTTCTTACCTTTAGTAGATCCTCCTCCTTTCCTACTGTGAGGGATAATGCTATCCTTTCCCAAGGATTTTAGCTCCTTTTGAAGTTTGAAATCAGTTTTTTGAAAGGGTATGCTTGAGTTCGCAAGTAATCCCTTAGGATTTACAAGAGTTGGCAAACCCCTTGATAACTTCTGAATAAGAATTAGCCTTTTCCATACAATCAGCCTCAATGATGCTCCTAATATTAGCATTTTTATCTTCAGTGTTAGTATATTTTCTCTCTACTGCTGCAGTAGAACAGTTTTTAATTTGCAGTAACAAGGATTTAGAAGCATCTTTATTCGATGAGTTGTTAATGCCTTTTGAGCCTTCTTCCAAATTATCCAGAACTTCTTCTTCTAAAGCACTGAAACTATTTTTCATAGTCACATCTGGAATAAAGCTATCCACCTTAGAGTTTGCAGTCTTATTACTCGAAATCTGCAACTACATTGGTTCAATGATTTCTCCCTCTTCTCTGTCCTGATTAGCTTGGACTGGCATATAGACTTGCGTAACAGTTTTCTGCTTGATACTTGTTGTCTTCATAAATTCTGATTTCTGCTTTAAATAAGAAGATCCCGGCTGCCTGTTTTTTCTAAATTTGACTTGAATCCAGGGTCCCAATTCATCTTGAACAAAGTCTTTATCTATTTCTTCTGCTGAATTTACTATCTTCTTACTAACCTCAGGAGCTGTTACTGAAGAAGGTTGGATAAGTAAAGAACAGTGGTTCTTTGTATGCCCCAATTTACCACAATGGTAGTATAGAGAAGAGATTCTTTCATATTCAACTTTTTGGAATGATCTTCCATGCAACCCTTCTATCCAAACTCCTTTAGGAATCTTTTCATCCAAATTTAATCGAACACAGACCCGTGCGTACTCCCTTTTTCCCCATTTAAATGAATTACCATCCAGATAAATTGGGGAGCCAATTTTGGAAGCAATTCTACAAATATTTTCCTCATCCCAGCAATGTAAGGGAAGGCAAGGCAGACGAATCCAAATAGGAGCTGTAAGTCCTTTAAGAGTTTCAGGAGAAAAATTGGGTGACCATTTGTCCAACCCAATGATATTGCCTCCTATATACCATGGTCCTCCTTCTAATATTTCTTCCACTGCTTCCTTCTTGGTGAAGGAACAGAGAATCCAATCAAGCCCCAGAGTTGTAAGATGAAAATTACCATATCTAGACCATTGTTTCCTCAGTTCTCTCTACAAACTGGGAATGGGATGTTATTACCCAACACTTTGATTTCCAGAGAGTTCCTTAGGACTTGAGAATTAGCTTTTTCTGAAATAGAGTCCATTAAAATTGCAATTCCATCCTCAGATAACGGAGTAGAATCCATCTTATAATTAAGCTTAATATGTGGAGGTTTAACCCAAGCATTTCCAGAAAATGTTTTCGGACCTGTATCTCCTTCCTTGGTAGAATTGTCAATGGAAGAAAATTTTCTATTTTCTGATTGCAAGTTAGGATTCATAAAAGGATCAGAACAAGGAACCGAATGTAGCTTATCCACAGAATTAGAATTTTCGTTAACTTCATTGGGGGTATTCGCATTTATCGCTGGCCAAGGGTCAGAGATTGCATTTGAATATCCAAATTTTTTAACAAAAATTTTAAAATCGAAGGAGGAAGCTTCAGCGTCATTTGGTTTAGAACTTGAACGATTCTTCTCAATTACTATAGAATTGCAATCAGAGTTAACTAAAATGCTTTTACCTTTTCCTTCCACAAATTTAATCACCTTCTTAGCCGAACCATCTGTAACTTCTCTGATCACCAACGGGTTTACACCCTTTCTGGAAGAAACTTGATCCATTTTAGAATGTTGAAGCAACCGATTCTGTTCTTCCTTTGTTCCCAAAAGTCCATCCGAGTCTCCTGAAATGTTAGGTCCACCGACCGGTGATCGGCAGCCATCCACCGTCATCGCCAACTCCCGGCGATGTGGTTAACGGATAAACCGCGAAATCGAAAATTTGAAAAACCTGCTGTTTATCTCTCTAGCGTGTTGTTTCTCTCTCTAGCGTGAAGAGAAACCTGTTGTTTATCTTTTTAATGCAGCATTTGGAATTAATTGATGAACATAATGTATTAAAAGTTTCACACACCTCACTTAATTCTGATCTTAAGAAATCTAAAGAGATTGAAAAAAATTTAAGGATTGATAATGATGCATTAAAAAGAACTAACTTGAGGATTCAAAATGATTTGGATACATGTAAGAAAAATCGGATGACATCTACTTTTAATTCTAAGCCAGAACCTAGGAAGAGGCATTATAACTCAAACCATTTAAGAAACCCTTTTCCTGGAGTTAGATGTTTTTCATGTGGCATGCTAGGACACATTTCACACACTTGCACAATTTACCATAGTACACATTGGGTGTGGAGACCTAAGATGCATAATTCACAGCATATCCTATCTGTATTGCATTCTACTTTTCCTAAGAAGGGACCCAAACCTGTTTGGGTTCCTAAATCTAATTGTTGTTGAGTTTTGCAGGAATGCTCTCACCAAAGACCTCATGGGAGCATAGGATGACTGGACATAAGGAGGCTCGCAGCTCAAAATTGCTTAAACCTCCTGCTTCAATAATTTCTTGAAATGTGTTTTTGTTTCAGTGTGTTTTATTTCTGCTTTGTAGTTGTTTTAATTAGTTTTGTTTTCACTTTGCTTTTATAATTGGTTTTTCATATATTGAATCTTTTCAAGATTTTAGATTTTAGAGTTTTGAAGATAGTGTTTAGCTTTTCTAAAATTGGTTAAAGGGAGAAACACCGTTGATGGTTTCCCTCTTTCCAACCTTGTTTAGTGGTATAATTTTTCTTCTCTAAACAAAAGTCTAACTCATTTTAGCCAATGGTTTTTGAAACTAAGATTCTTTCTATCTTGCTACAATAATCTATCTTGTACATAATATCCAAAGTTCATATATATCTTTCAAGTTATTTAAAATCTTGCCATTTCTTTCATCGCATGACTTTGATTTTATTTTGTGACTTGTTCTTCCCTATGTTAGAGAGAGAGCTCATATTCTCTAATATTTGGAGGATATACTCACAACTAAGGGTCTTTTTATGGGTTTTTGTTAAAGAGCTTTTAGCTTGCAAAAATTAAAAAGGAAAGAGGTCAATGACGCCAAATTGAAATATATATATATATATATAATACACAAAAGTGTATTAAAAATCAAGATGCTCAAAGAGCCAATTGAAAGACAAAAGAGGCATAAAATGTGCCCACTAAATTCAAGCTACTATCTCTTCTCTAAACTCTTAAAACTTAGAGAACTCATTGATTATTTGATGATTTCAAAGGCTTGATTTCAAATTCTATGATTGAGACAAATTACTTTGTTTTATTATTTATGAGATTTTTTTGTAAACAAGTTTTGATTGGATCTTCTTTTTGCCCAATTAGGTTTATTTTGAGTTAAGCATTTTTGTTTTTCAAAAGAAAATTTGTACCATAAAGAACGTCTGATCTAGGGTTAACAGAATCGGATATTATACCTTTGTCTGACTTTGTCTGATTAGGATTGGCTAAACTCCTTGATCTTGTGGAACTCTAAAGTCTAATTAGTTGAAAACTTCTCATATGAAGCCTTGATAAAACAAAAAAAATTAGAAAAATTAAAATTCAAAAATATTCTTTTTTTTTTATTTTCTTTTTCCCGTTGTTTTTAGCTTTCTATTACTGTGTTTTTGTATGCCTTTATTTATTTTTTGGCCTAGATCATCACCATCCTTCATTGTTTTTCAAATTCTAGTCACATCGTCCTGGCTAATACTTTTATCATCCTGGACGATAGGGCAAAATCTCTTCAAATTCCATCTGCTGGTCTTTCCTAAGCTTGCTGTAACTCATCATCCTGGACGATACTATATCGTCCTGGCCGATCTGATCGAACTCTGTTGCAATCATGATGATAGTCCAGGCCGATAGAATATTTCATCCTGGCTGATGCATTTATGGTCATCGTCTTGGCCGATACACTGGATCGTCCTGGATGATCCACGTGTCAGCACGTTTGAATCTTTAAAATCGGCCCCGGATGATCCATTATTGGACAATCATCCTGGCCGATCCACTATTCATCCTGGATGATACACGTGGCACAGATTTAAAATGTTTTAACTTCGGCCTGTACAATCAATTATTGTGCATCGTCCTGGACAATACACCTAATCGGGCCAGACGATTTGCTTTTTCAACGGTCGTCCGGCCTGACTCCTCGAGACGATCGCCTATGTCTAATCATCCTGGCCGATATCCTGATCGGCCGATGATCGATCGCCTTTTTGACAAATCGGCCTGACGATATGGCCCGTTTCTTTAAATTTTGGCGATCCAGCTTATTTTCCACCTATCCCTTTTCCTCTTGTTCCTGCTAATCCTTGCTATGGCGGTGGGAAACGTTGACAGCTTCTGGAGTCTCTCGAAGGCCACTTTGGACCCTCGATTCAGGGAGGCAGAGGATCAGGCTGCTACCGTCGCATATAAAGAGTATGGCCATTACCTTCCCGAACATCAATCTTGCATACTTTCAGTATCTGTAATGGATCTTTTCCACAATCTCTTTGCTACATATTGTTACTCACCCAGCAGCAGCCCAGCATGACCGATGATATGCTTGGTTTAATGACTCAGTTTACCACGCTTGCCAGCTAATTCCAGCAGCTACCTCCACCACCTCCAATCTGATGATCAGTGCGTCCTCGATTTTTTCTAGTCTGTAGTTTTTGTTGTTTGTTTTCTATTTCTGTAGTTTTCTGTAGTTTGGTGTTTTCCTTTTCTTCGCTTGTGTCTAGGACCCTCTTTTGGTTGACGAAAAGGCCGGAGTAGGATGTGCGTAGGAAAAAGACTATGCTGTGTAACTTTGAAATTTCTACGTGAAACTATTTTTTTTCTCCTGAGTTTTTTCCTACTGTGTTTGCCTATCAAAAAGGGGGAGACTGTTTGCAAATCTAATTTTATCATACTTATGTTTTTGATGATTGAAAACACTATCTGTTCTCTTGGGACTGCCTTGTTATGTCTTAACTTTTCAGGAATCGAAGAGGACGAACAAACTGAATCAGTTCAAGTACATAGGGTCTAGGGTTGAGTTAGTTGTACTTTGTTTTTTTTCTTTTGTTTAAGTCTATTTGTTACATGCGTCAACACACTAAGAGACTTTAGAATTTTGTTTTATACATTATCCGGCCAGGACGATATTTACATCATCCTAGAAATAATTTTTTTATTTTTCGATCACGCTTAAAACAAAAGTCTAATTAAGGATTCTTAATTAGGCAGCGTCACTTAATGGATCATTCCTGATGATACGTGTATGGCCAGGAACATAAGTTCAAATCAGAAAGAAGTTGCCGCATAAGAAAATTAAGGGATTACTGTATTTTTAATAATCGCCAGGACGATCATGATCGCCTGGACGATATTTCACAAATGATGCTTAATTGATCAGGAAGATCAAGGAGTGTAATTAGGATGATTGATACGCATCATTATCATCCTGGATGATCGGGATGGCCAGGATGATCTATTCAAAACTTAGTTTACGTCAGACGATAAAATATTTGGGCCAGCTCGAATTCATGGGCGATGCTCTGGACAATTTTTCCCTCTGATTTGAACTGAATCGGCCGGGTGTGTTAGATTGGCCTGGACGATCAAACATAATTTTTAAATCGTCATTTTGCATTCAGGGCGATCTCTGGCCGATCTTCTGAGATTTATACTGATGGGCCAGGATATGTCATATGGACTGACGATATTGTGGCAACTGCAATTAATGAGCTCTTTGAATCTCTTTCTATTTAAGAAGTTTGTTCAACATTTTGATCAACTTAGTGCTGCTGGCCTTGACCTGAGAAGGCTTGGAGAGAGAGAAAGAGAGAGAGGGAGAGAGAGAGAGGAACTTGTGAGGGGAGCTTAATGAGGGGCATTCACAACGGGTTGTTCAAGGATCGCTCTGCTTCTTCTTCGTCTAGAGTTTCTCGTCTGTGGAAGGGTTTGTAGAGTTAAGGAGTTAGCATCTGATTGTGGTTCTCTGCCAGCTTCAGGAGTAAGCAAAAGGAGATAGGTTCTCTACCTTGCCGAGGTGGCAAAAAGGAGGTTCGTTGTAAAGGCTTCTCCGCCTAGTTGTGGGGGCTAAAGGAGAGTCACGTTTGTAGTGCAATACTCGGAGGGCGCCTCCGGGGAGTGGACGTAGGTCGAGTTGACCGAACCACTATAAATTTTTGTGTTCTTGTTTCTTGCTTCCGTACTTTAATTTCCGCATTTATTTTTCACATGGTGTGATTTTGGTTTATGTGTTTTTGTTCTTTGTGAAAAGAATTTTTTTTAAATACCAATTCACCCCCCCCCCCCCCCCCCTCCCCCCCCCCCCCCCCCACCTTCTTGGTTAGCTTGGGCCAGTTCTATAGGGCTTAACATCCCTAACGAACTTTCAGGCCGGCGTATAGAGAGTTTCCTAATTGGCCTTGGACTTATATAAAGTGAATGCTTCTAGAGCTAATGCAATTAAAGTTTAATTTAGTTAGTTTTTAATGCAATGCATGCTGGTTAAAAGGTCCAAATCATGTATGCTTAAGATTTTAAAAGCAGGATTATAGAAAATATATTTTTGAAAAGGCTTGGCCTCCATAGGTCCAACAAATCATTCTCATAGGCCAGTTTATTTGGACTCTACCCGCAGGCAAGGAGGTGTCTTGTTAGAAGGAGAGAGAAGAATGCATTGATATGCATGCGGCCCTGGATGATTCTGGCAGTTCCCTTGCTCATTAAGTTTTTTTATTTTATTTAATTCTTAAAATTTTAAATATTAATTACGAGTAGAAAATAATTTTTATCCTAGAGAGCCTAGCGTAAATCAGGCCATATACATGCATAAAAGTAATTTAGAAAAGACATGTAATTTCT